GGGTCGGCCCCGACATTTAGGTGTGCCACGAGAAGGCCGGTGAGCCTTACCTCCATTTGTTGCAAAACCATGGAAAAATCATGAAGAAGGCGCTGATGCAGTTCCTCAAACAGAATCACCTCCTTTCCGATGCCCAACGCGGTTTTCGCAGTGGTAGTTCCTGTCTTACGAATCTGCTCTTCTCACTTGACCACTGGACCAAAGCACGATACGAAGGCAAAATGGCGCATGCCATCTACATTGACTTTAAAAAGGCGTTCGACACAGTCCCTCACCAACGCCTGCTGCATAAATTGCGCAGCGCAGATGTTCGCGAGCCCCTCTTCCTATGGATTCAAAACTTTTTGACAGGACGTTCCCAAAATGTACAAGTCGGTCGCCAGCAGTCCTCAGGGGTACCTGTGGTGAGTGACGTCCCACAGGGCTCAGTTTTAGGTCCCACATTATTCCTTGTTTTAATCAATGACTGTGTCAGGGATCTAGACTGCGATGTCACCTTCTTCGCGGATGACATGAGATGATAGAAAGTCGTCCAAAAATACGGCAGACGAAAACCATCCGCAAGCTAACTTAAACAAATTGGAGGACTGGCCACAGCATTGGCTTATGCCCTTCAATGTTAGTAAATGCAACTTTCTTCAAATCGGCAGTTTTAGAGCATCCAGCACAAAGGTCTATTCCTTAAACGGTCCACCGCTGCAAGAAGTTGAGGGTGAGAAGGACTTGGGAGTGTGGCTTACTTCTTCACTCAAACTAACGCTGAACTGTACGAAGGCGGCGAAGTCGGCCAAGCTGATTAGACGAGCCTTTATAGAGTTTGAAAAACACAGCTTTTCCAAAATATTCGGAGGCTTCGCTCGGCCACACCTGGAAGTCGCTATACAGGCATGGAGACCTTGGACTGTCAAGGACTGTACCGTCTTAGAGAAGGTCCAGAGACGAGCGACAAAAATGGTCAAGGGTCTGGGAACACTGCCCTACGAAAGCAGACTGTCAACCCTCGATCTATTTCCCCTTTCCTACAGGTAACTTCGAGGGGACCTCATCTTTACCTTCTGTATCATGAATAACCTGGATTGTTGCTTCGTCCCCGACTATTTTTTTTATCCAGGCTAATACACCAAGTTTGCGCGAGTATCCCCTTAAATTACGCCCCGGCAAAGCAAGGATCGACGAAAGAAATTTCTTCAGCAACAGAGTAGTTGCGGCGTGGAACGCCCTTCCCGAAGAAGTTGTT